CCCGGCCGGCTTGTCTCCTTCCTCACTGCCAGTGTCCGCCCTTTTCCGCCGGCCACGCAGCATTTCTATTCATCTCCAAGGTCTGTCACTGCTGGTGTCCGCCCTTGTCCGTTGGCCATGCAGTGTCACTGGTGGTGTCCGCCCTTTTCCGCTGGCCATGTAGCATTTCTATTCTTTTGTCTCCCAGGTCTGTCACTGGTGTGTCCTTGTCTATTGGCCATGAAGCATTTCTATTCATTTGTCTCCCAGGTCCGTCTGCTTGTGCCATGTAGCATTTCTATTCATTTGTCTTTCAGGACTGTCACTGGTGGTGTCCGCCCGCATTTCTATTCATTTGTTTCCCAGGTCCGTTACTGCTGAATGCAGCATTTCTATTCATTCGTCTCCCAGGTCTGTCACTGCTGGTGTCCGCCCTTTTCCGTCGGCCATGCAGCATTTCTATTCATTAGTCTCCCGGTCTGTCACTGGCGTTGTCCGCCCTTTTCCGTTGGCCATGCAGCATTTCTATTCATTTGTTTCCCAGGTCGTCACTGCTGGTGTCAGCCCTTTTCCGCTGGCGATGCAACATTTCTATTCGATTGTCTCCAGGTCTGTCACTGGTGGTGTCCGCCCTTTTCTGCAGGCAATGCAGCATTTCTATTCATTTGTCTCCCAGGTCTGTCAGTGCTGGTGTCCGCCCTTTTCCGCTGGCCATGCAGCATTTCTATTCATTTGTCCCCCAGGCTTGTGACTGGTGGTGTCCGCCCTTTTCCGCTGTTTCTATTCATTTATGTCTCCCAGGTCTGTCGCTGCTGGTGTCCGCCCTGTTTCCGCTGGCCATGTATCATTTCTATTCATTTGTCTCCCAAGTCTGTCACTGCCACTGTCCGCCCTTTTCCGCCGGCCATGCAGCATTTCTATTCATCTCCAAGGTCTGTCACTCTTGGTGTCCGCCCTTGTCCGTTGGCCATACAGTGTCACTGGTGGTGTCCGCCCTTTTCCGCTGGCCATGTAGCATTTCTATTCTTTTGTCTCCCAGGTCTGTCACTGGTGTGTCCTTGTCTATTGGCCATGAAGCATTTCTATTCATGTGTCTTTCAGGACTGTCACTGGTGGTGTCCGCCCTTGTCCGTTGGCCATGAAGCATTTGTATTCATTTGTTTCCCAGGTCCGTTACTGCTGCTGTCCGCCCTTTTCCGTTGGCCATGTAGCATTTCTAATTATTCATTTGTCTCCCAGGTCTGTCACTGCTGGTGTCCGTCCTTTTCCGCAGGCAATGCAGCATTTCTATTCATTTGTCTCCCAGGTCTGTCACTGCTGGTGTCCGCCCTTTTCCATCGGCCACGCAGCATTTCTATTCATTAGTCTCCCAGGTCTGTCACTGTTGGTGTCCGCCCTTTTTTGCTGGCGATGCAACATTTCTATTCATTTTGCCAGGTCTGTCACTGCTGGTGTCCGCCCTTTTCCGCTGGCCATGCAGCATGTCTATTCATTTGTTTCCCGGGTCTGTGACTGGTGCTGCCGCCCTTTTCCGCTGGCCATGTAGCATTTCTATTCATTTGTCTCCCATGTGATTTCTTTCTTTTTGTCTTTCAGGTTTGGTGCCTGCACTGCTGTTTTCTGCCCTGTCCGCTGGAACAGGTTCACCTGTGAAAGGTTCTTGCTCCTTTGCAAGGGGTGCGTGACTGTCTCCGGGATTGCGTTCCTGCCACACTGTGCAACTCTCCTTTTCGGGCAAGCGTTGGATGAATGACCGGATTGGATTTCGGTGGTGACGGTCCTGTCCTCTCGAAAGCCGGCTTGGTGACAATCCTGCAGTGGTCAGCTACTCACAATCCTGACCTAGTCAATGGCGACTGCAAGTCCGCCTTTCTTCAAGGACAACCTGACCGAGAGCGACCACGCGCCATCTACATGCGAATCCCGCAGGACGACATTTCCCTGCAGGCTGTTCCTGAGTGGTCCAACAACAAGAACCTCCTGTATGAGCCGCACGCTCCTGTGTACGGGCAGGCCAATGCACCACGACAGTGGTACCTCCACGTCTTGGACACCTTGCTCAAGTTAGGCTGGATTCGACACAGCCTCGACCCGTGCCTCTTCCTCTACAAGAACGACGACAATGCGGTCGTTGCATTGCTCATCCACGTCGATGACATCATCGCCAGCACCATCAGCAACGATGAGACCATCCTCCAAAATGTGGAGAAGTTTTGCTTGGGGCAGCGCCTGGGAAAAGAATAACTTCGTCTTCATCGGAAGAAGGATCACGAAAGATGAGCATGGCACCATCGTGATCTCCCAGTCGCACTATGCCACAGAGGTGATGATCGCCAAGGATCGTGAAGATCCAGAGACAAAGCTGGACAAGGACTCCTTGCACATGTCAGACTTCCGCTCCGCCATAGGCAGCCTTCAGTGGCTATCTGGCACCTCTCGGCCAGACATCGCGGCCGATGCAAGTTTGCTTCAGCGAGCAGTTGGTGACCTCACCCATGGCGACCTCCAGCAGGCCAACCAGGTGCTGAAGTATGTGAAGGCCACGGCCGACGCTGTGATCAAGATCCGACTTGTCCCCTTCCTTCGTTGGAAGGCAACGATGCAGCATCGCTTCTTTGACGGTCCTTTCGCCATCAGCGGGTGCTTCGCTCTACCTTGGCGGTGGAAGCGGCCAGCTTGGATAGGTGTGAAGATGAAGGCAACTACCTCGGTTGCATGCTTGGTGAAGTGATCACCCCGCACTACATAGCTGCTCACTCAGGCAAGTCACCAATACCCATCCACCCGGCGACGGACGCTCGATCCTTGTTTGATGCGGTCCACCGGCTTGCCACGTCGTTCTCTGAGAAACGCGTCGAAATCGACGTCGCTGGGCTGAGAGACACCTGTAGGATCCCCACTGAGAAAATGATCGCAGACGGACTAACCAAGCGCAACAAGACGCTCCGCGATCAGTTGAGGATTTGGGCTGGTGACCCATGTCAGCCTCGAAGAGGCACATCTCCCGGAGGCAGATTTGTTTGATGGCGGTCCATTGAGACGCAAGCCAAAACAGAATAGCACCAGTGAAAACTCGACGATTCGTGAAGGGTCATAGCTTGTTGGCATTGTGTCTTCTTGCACCGCACACCTCAAGGGAGGGACCGAGCTCGGCGGCATAAAGGGCGCGCGCCGTGAGATCCAGGGACTTGGAGGCTTGGAGGTTTCCAGGCTCCACGATCGCACAGGTGACCAGGTGCTTTTTTTGTTTCTGGACAGGTGAGACTGATACGATTTTTGTTAAAAACCTTTTGTTCTCTCCTCGAACCCTTAATGCAAACCCAAGATGAAAGCTAGGTGACCAGAACCTATTTTCAAGAAGGCAAAGAAAAGTTTAAACACAAGTTGCGCGAAAACACAACAAAACTGCGAAGAACTGACTTTTGGGACCAAAATTCATAGATCTGGATCGTTGTGAGCCGGATTCAGAGGAGTGGGCGGCTACCTGGGATGACCTAGCCGACCGTCAGGCCATCCCAACCAATTTGGACAGGCCTGCAGCTTTTTGGTGGCTTGTTGAAAGTGGTCGAGCAAGAGTGGATCTCTGGATCCCCTTTCTGCGGGACCTACGGCAATTTCACCTGGCTTGGGGAGCAACAGGCGGCTTCCACGGATTACGCTGCAAAGTTGGTGGAGGCACCAAGGCCCCTTGATGACGAAGACTTCATGCCAATTAGTTTCGTGCTGTGCTGGGGAGGACTTTGTGATCCCCTACAGGTTTGCGGGAACTGAGCAACTCGTTGCTCCACGGCGGCTTTTCAATCGACCTAATTACCTTGGCTAGGATGATCCACGCGGTTGGTTTGTGACTTTTTTGATTTTGGTTCCTGTTGATTCGATTGACTCGACAACCCCGATTGGAAAGCCAGATCGCCATGCCTTGTGAAGGGTAATTGTCATCAGGCCCCCGCTTGATGCGCGGTGTCGATTGCGCGAATTGACACTGGCCTTTTTTGTTGGCCGCAGCGTTCGCAAGACAGCGGATCTTGCACCCCCGCTAGCTAGGAATCGCTGCTAAGTGGGATGGCCACAACGGCCTGACCCGGCGGTTGGATCCGGCGTGAAGCCTCAGGACCTTTCGGCGCAGCACTGCTTCGCTGTGCTCGTCCGCGATAAAGGAAGGATAAGGAAGGACACAACCGAGCATTAGACATGCACTGCAGATATGCAGACTTCAGAGAAGATATGACAGAGGAGGTTGTCAGCATGAAAAAGTAACACATATGATGGAAACGATCTAAAAGAGGAACAGGAGGTGAACCTATATATATACATATATAGGTCATACATTGCGCAAATGTGTGGGTTTAGATTCGCGCACACATATGCATAGAACCTTCCTAGTGGAACAATTTTTTGGGGCAGACATCCTACATCATCCTACGGCACTACTTTTCACCACCGGGGGCTTGAAGGTGGTATATCCAACAAACCTGAAGCCAAGCACTTGAAATGCACAAAGGAAAAGGCAAGCCCAGGAAGCAAGAAAAACAGAGAAAAGGCAAAAAAAGAGAAGGTGCGAAAAAGTATATAAAGGACAGGTGGGACTGATACGATTTTTGTTAAAACCTTTTGTTCCCTCCTCCAGCCCTTATTGCAAACCCAAGATGAAAGACCGTGACTAGGTGACCAGAACCTATTTTCAAGAAGGCAAAGAAAAGTTTAAACACAAATTGCACGAAAACACAACAAAACTGCGAAGAACTGACAAGGAACCTTCGTTCGCCTTCAATCTGCCTTTTGTTACTCTACCTCTACCTCTTTTTGATTCCTTCAATCTGCCTTCAGTTTGGTTTGGCTCAGTTTGTCGCTTATTTTTCCGAACCCTTCAACCGTTTTTCCCTACTTTCTTTATTGCCGTATTAACCTTATAGTTACTAAACTTAGCATTTTCCATCTGGCATTGCTTTGCAGTTCTATCAAGCCGTGTTTCTCGGACATTGCCGTGTTTTGTTTTTAGTTCCTCTCTACCCTGTGGTATGCTAAACTGCTAAACATATTGAACGTGGTGAGTGACCCGCTTTGCACCCCCTTCCAGCAGCCCTTGGTCCTGCCGAATGTCTGGTTTTCCGTAAAATAACAACTTTGAACTAGGCACAGCTTAAAGGGTTCCTACCTCTCTTCCATAGGGTTGCAAAGAGTACCAGGCAGCCCTTGTCCCAGCGTTTTCTTCTCCCACTCCGGGCCCCACTCCATTTTCCATAGCATTGGCCACTCTTGATCCAGTTTAATTAGCCTTTTTGTATCAAGCCGCGGCTGCAAGATCTGAACTTGCGTTCCCTTTCTAAATGTCGCCAGGTCAGACCAGGTCGAACAACGTGTGATCCCATGATCCCTGCTATCGTTTACCATTGGCTGACTTCCTCACGAAAGCAAGCCTGGCAACTAGTCATGGCAGGCCAATTCAGCATTCAATGTCACTTGAAAAGGTGCAGTCCAGCCACTTCTCCTGTCCAAGATCCTCAGAACGTAATAGATGCTGTCTCAAACTCAACACTGTTGCGCGCCAAGAGGTCACACGAAAACACATGTAAGAACAAGCGTGGGCAGCCAAGACTGTAAGGTCGCTGTTGGATCTCTTGAGAACCTCGAGGTCGTGAGGTGTTTGATGTAGGAAGCGTGCGGGCCTTGTCAACAGTATTTGGTACAGCTTTCGCTGTCGGATGCGCATCTCGTTTGTCCTTGACTGTTTGACTGACTGTGCACCTTAAGAGTTTTGCGGCTTTGCGGTCTCAATTCTTAATCCCCGCAGGTCCAAATCACCTCCAGTTGATTGAGGTTGAATGGGGTTCGGATTCCTTCTTTCCTTAGGGCAAGCTTGTTGAGGCACCAATGCTGAAACTGTGCCTGACATTCTCCATCATTCTCCTCAATGTTTGTGCGTTTATTTTTGGTTGAAAGGCGCATCAGTCCCGCAGGGAAACTGCACCAACCCGATCGCAGGTTGATTGCATAAGGATGGTGGCTTAGGTAGGCCAAATGTTGTGCTTTGCGAACTCCCATTGGCCCCGTTCTATATGTGGCAAGAGCCTTGCGACTGACACTCGATTGCTTCCGTGCAATGGTGACTCAAGTGCTTGGAAGTGTTGGTCACGGTTGCTGACATTACATGTCGGAAGTTTTGCGGTGTATGACATGTTCTATATATCTGGCTCGTGGGTTCCATGTTCGTGGAGCTTGGGTGCCAAATGAAGGCTGGACTATGGGCCCGGGCACTTGCTGGGATGGCACCAGGCATTGAGCATGAAGATGCATGAAGGCATTGAAGGGATATGTGTTTTTGCGTCACCGTGCTGCTTGCAAGGACAGTATGGACTTGACGCGACATTTGTTCACAGCCTGAGTCCCAAAGATACTGCTTTCAGAGCTGGTGAAAAACTCTTTGGCTTCACAATGCAGGTGGTGCTGACCCTCGCATCTGAGGGAAGTGGCCGCTGTGAGTGGGGTGCTACACACTTTTGTTGGCCTCGTTTGTACGTTTCGCATTCCGTTTCGTCCAGGTGGCGGAAGATTGCTGAAGATGGCCAGGAGCTTCAGGAGGCGCGTGGCGATGTATGGCCCAAATCTCTACCTTGTGGAGCTGGAGGTTGTATCATCGACGATGCCGGCGCTCGGCAACCTTGCCATTCATGGCCTCACTTGCAACAATGAACTTGCGCCTTAATCTTAGCCTTGCCGGATATGACCTGTATAGCCAGGTGCTTGCACCGAGGCATCGAGTCTTTTGGGATGAAGGTCGCCGTTTGGCACTAGCTTGCGCCACAGATAAATGGGAAAAAAAGTTTTCTTCCTGTGTGAGCCATTGCAGGTCTTGTTTTGCCGCTCTCCTGAAATAGAAGCACTCCTGAAAGGGAAAGGAGCACAGAGCCGTACACAACTCAGCATGGTGAAAAGCAACAAGTGCAATCCAGGGGCCCTGTGTTTACTGTAAGTTTAGCCATGCTTCCGGTCTGAATTGCGAAGGTCTTTCCATGCGCTATTGGTGGAGAAAGGAGCATGAGAAAGTGAAATGAGCTGGGCGCAATTCGTGCCTTGCATCGGGAAACTGTGTGTTTCACTTACATGTATCCTTCAGTGCTTGCGGCTGGAGATTCTGACTTCTGACTGAGAAAGGGCAAGGATTCGTCGTCCGGTATTTTCAATTGCGTAGGGAAATGTTTGTCATTATGCACTGCATTTCACATCTTGTCATGAATAGGCCTTTGCGCCGCCTCGCTTTGGAACACGTATTTCGGATCGCTTTGAACTGCGGAAAATGGATTGTTTTGGAATGTACAGTAATACGCTGCAATGGTGCGTGCAATGCCTGTCTCTTACTGGTGGATTGTTTTTGAAGGTGGAGCGTGTTATTCCAGTTTCCAGGTTTCCAGCCAGCATGCGGGTTCCAGGCAGCGTCATGGTTCCCAGGTTTTCAGCCTGCGTACAGATTTCCATCGTTTCCAATGTGCACGGAAATTGCCTCGCTTGTGCAGGCGGAAAACGTCTCGCTTGTACACGTGCAAGTTGGAAGGCTGAGAAGCCTTTGAGGAGCGCGCGCCTGCACACACTCAAATGCCAGCATGACAATATGTCAGCAAAACAGCCTGACAAGGTAGGGAAAAGGTCTCATTCCCAGGTAGCGAGCCACGCGAGTGTAAAGGAAGGTGCCATTCCAACCGTGCAGACTTTTTGCGAGCCACCCGAAGGAACAAGTTTTGCAAGGTGATGCATTTTTACGTGTTCCAAAATATCCGGGCGCCGCCTTGCTCAAAGCATAGGCAGGATGCTTGTTTGCGGGAATCCCATGGACCTAGCCCAAGCTCAGGGCCAGGGATGGGCAGCTTTTCCTGTCGGAGGCCTAGGTCACGCAGGAGGTGCTATGACCAGATCTGCCAAGTCAGATCCAGCAACACTGGAGCTATTGCTATGCGATCCGCCAAGGGGGTTGCCATGGGTTGCCAAAAGGCTTGGAACCTCGCTTTGTCGATTTGTTGCTCCACGCTATTCCACGCTGTATCCAGTGCGAAGGCAAACAAGGAGGAACCCTCCGAGGCGGCAAAGAGACGAATTTAGTCTGAACTTAGCAGCATGGCAAAGCCTGATTCAGGACTTTGTTGCGCATTTGCCGGTAGTGGACTGGAATGTGCAACCACGACTCCCCTTCACGAGGCGCATCGCCCTATCACATGAATTTGCATTTTCTGTTCAAACGTGGAAGTGCTGTAACATTTAAACCAATCATATGGCAGGCACTTCATCGCAGCCCCTCTCCATGAGCAGCCTGCTGCAGTTGCGTGGCGGCAGGCACAAACATGTTGTGCCCTATCCACAAGATACAGTGCCGTTGTGGAAGTCGGGCAGGCGCTTGGCATTTCCATTGAAGACAACGGGCCACTGCATATTTTGTGTCTCGGCTTATATATATATATATAGCTATGGTTGAACATGTACTTACACACCCTCCTGTCCGTGTTTGCAGAAGGACTTTGGTGCTTTCATAATGCTTAGATTTGTGATCAGGTATTGGTGTTGATCAGCCCTCAAATTTCAGTTTTTGCCTTAAAGTGCAAGAATCCAGCCCCGGAACCGCTGTGCAATAGAAGTCTTTTCCGGCGCCTCCTGAACGATTCCCAACAATTAACCCGGTTGGTGTCCTTTCAGACGTGGCTGTGGGTGACGGCACTGGGGCACCCTGAGCCCCGGGGTCAAATGAACAGAACCCTGAAAAGAAGGGTGTGAAATGATATCAAACTGTTGGCACAAAGCAGCCCATTTGCGTATGCCATATCAGCATCCGAAAACATTACGGGAAAAGAACAACATAGGGCACTAGTGAGCTTGCAGCATGTCGACGAAGCCGGGACCGATGAAGGCCAACCCATCTATTGATGCCCCTGGTCACCCTGGTCCCAGATACAAAGCAGGCATGCTGGCATGCTCTAAGGCAGGCGGAATGAACGAGATGCGCGCAAGAGATGTTGCCGATCCCGTAAGTTGCTATGTTCTCGAATGTTTTGGAAGTGTTGTGCTATGGCACATGTGTTTTTTGGTCATGTTTGAATGTTTACTTTGCCTCGTCAGTCACCTTACTTAACATTGAAGAAGGTGTCAGGCTACTGGCTGCCTGCATCCATGCACATACACGCGGACACGTGCAGCCCCCTGCTGGGGAAGATTTTTTTGTTTCATTATGTTGCTGTTGAAGCCCAATATTGGCTCACCAAGCTCCTACATTCATGATACTGATGCATTGACGTGAACATCGCCAATCATTTCACTTCCACATCCATGGTTGGCACGAGAATGTGTGGAAGCTGCCAGTCGATTCAAGTTGTTGGCACTGAGGCCAGCGCCAATCACCCAATTCGAGGAGGGTGAAACAGTTGTGTGGTTGATTAAGATGAACGCATGCGACGCATGCCGTTTGTAGCCACACCTTTTTGCACTCCAGGAGCTGGGAGTCCTTCCTGCGTATGTTATTGAAGCACTTCGCAAATGCGGAATCACGGCACCGCTGCCAATTCAGTCGCAGGTGCGACAGTGTTGGTTGATGTGAAGTGAAGTGCGTTCTGTTTTCTGACAAGCTGGTCAATCCAAATCCATAAAGGGTTGTCGAGCGCTTTCGTCGAAAAGCGCTGCTCTTGGTTAGAGGACTAAGAATGACTGCACTGAGTGCTTCCGAGGCCCTGCCCTTGGTGCTGTCTGGATGTGACGTGGTTGGAATCGCACAGACAGGCAGTGGAAAGACGTTGGCAACTTGTTTGCATCTGCAGACTTTGCCCACATGTCTGGCATTTTGCCAAGGTCTGGCCAAAAGGGAAGCAGAATTTGCAACACTCAGTGTATATATAGTTATAGTGGACAGCTAGCACTTAGAATATGACCAAAAGGATTTTTCGATTTGGTCCATATGTCCCAAGGTCACTTGTCCATTTGTCCGCGGACGCGCAGATAGAATTTCCACACATCCACATAGAATGTGCGCACCACACTTAGAATATATGCAGCGTGTGTCAATCCAATCACACTTGCCTCAAGGGAGATGTGCAACCAGTAAATATGCATGAGCCTTCATCTCAGGCGTCTTTGGGTGGGAAAAGATGCTGAGGTATGTGTGGTCGGTTATTGCACTTAGAATGTATATTCTAACTGTGCTGTCGTTCATGAAAATGCCATATTCTAACTGCAACCAAATGCTCCGGCCATATTCTAAGTGCCGGCAGTGCACTATAAGTATTTAAGTTGCAAAATTTAAAAACGGTTGTGATTACATCAGGAGTTTTGTAATATTGTGATTACATCAGGAATTTTGTACTGTAATAGTACGGCACATTCTTTGACTTGCTGTGGTGCTGGCAGTTCCGGACGCAGAAAAACAATTCGATTCCTCAATCAAACCACCGTGGAAAAGGATGCGTCCATTTGAGTTGGATAGGATTCCAGCTACCTCTGTTGAATCAACATTGGTAGCGGGGGTCCACGTAGGACCGTTGAGCTTTTCTCACAGGAGCGCCATGGCTGGTGCATCTTCCTCCAGTGATGGAGGCTACAGGATCTTTGATGGGGAGCAAGAGGGCTCCAAGGAGTACAAACGCTGGAAGGTCTGGGTGACCAATAAGCTTCTGACAATTGCTGACGAGGTTCACCGAAGGCCAAGGGGGCCTATGTGTACACTTTGCTACAGGGCAAAGCATTGGAGTGTGTTGAGCACTTGGATCCTTCTGACTACCAGAAGGAGGGAGGGGACCTTGTGTTGTTCAATTTGTTGGATGCTCGTTTTCCTGCCGAGGAAGCTTCGGACGAGATGAGCGAGATCATGACTCAGGTGTTCAATTTGAGAGCTGCTGAGGGAGAGACCCTCAAGACATGGGCCTCCCGCGTGACAGAACTATTTGTCAGATGTCAAAGGAAAACCAATGTGGCATTTCCTGAAGAGGCCAGGGGCTGGATCATCCTTCATCGATCTGGACTCAACGATGAACAAAAGGCAGTTTGCTTGGCCCGATCGCTGGGAGTGTTGAAGCTCGAGGAGATCTCCAAGGCCATGAGGTCATGCTATCCAGAGTTTGTTGCACCTCGACGCAAGTCGTTCGCTGCCGGTCTGATCGAGAACGATCGAGGTGACCTTTACACCGAGCTGGAGGAGCAGGACGACTCGTTGCTGGAAGTCGAACAGTTCCTTGCTGAACACCAATATGACGAAGAAGCTGATGCAGGAGAGGATGAGGAGCCCTACGACGAGGCAGAAGTCGCTGAAGCCTTCGCAGTGACCTGGCGAGACAAACGAAAGGAGCTGAATCGCCTGCAAAAAGAACGCAACCCTGAGCATCCGACCTTGAGAAAAAACAATCCAGATTGAAAATATCAATCTGGATTGAGAGGATATTGATCTTACCCTTTTTTCAATCCAGGATCTATCTGGATTGTTGTTTTCAATCCCCTGGGGATTGAAAAATGAGCATCAAAAGGAAAATCATGACTATGTTGAGCAATTTTGAGATTGCTTTTTTTCAATCCCCAAAAAGATGTGTATCTGATGTTTAGGAGAGGCACACATAGTAGCTGTTGGACACAAGCATATGTTCGACATGCTGGCAGGTTGTTGTAACATGTTGTAACCTTCCCTGTGACCCTGTGAAACTTCTCACCCTAGGCTTTGTTTTAAGCCTTGCTGTTATGACCAGGCTTTTTTTTCAAGCCTCCACATACCTGTTGATTCTCAATTGGGATCCGAACGACTTGTGGACAGTCTTGTCGCTTTTGTGCCATGGCTGCAAGAATGGGCAAGGTGAGCCTGGAACCAACCCAGCTCTCTTGCCTGTAAGCCCAAAGGTTTTTGGATTCTGGAAGCGGCACAGCTGAGCCAAGTGGTATGCCCAATGGAATTTTGGATTGAATTTGAAGAGGCAAGGGTTTTGGGCATCATGTGCATCCTGTTGCAACCAAGCATAATGTTGAAAGCAGCTCTGGATGGAAGACAGAGCCTCTGTAGCTTCGGCTGCTGTCATAAAAAAAAATTCAGCAGAAGCCACAATGCCATAGATGCCAGATTGTGCAGGCACTGAGCAAAATGGCTTTCTTGCAAGCCTCCCCCGGCGAAACACGAGTTGACGCTGCCACGACAGAGGCACCAAATGCACCACCGCTTGAACTTCCAGCAGTCCAGACATCGTTGACCACTGCTGAGGCCAATGCGAGGGAGATGCAAACAGCTCCAACAATGGCAGCTCCTGCTGACGCACCAGTTGATGCTGTCACTGCAGAGTTGCAGCAGGCCTGTGTAGAGGCAGAGCGAAGAGTTGCCAGCTTTGTGGAAGCCAATGCAGCAGCTTTGCATTCAACAATGTAGCAATTGATTTTGTACAGCAAAACTAACAGGACATTGTCATTGTCATCGTCATCATATTGTTAATTTGTTTTAATCATAAATAACATGTTGGTAGTAACTACAACTATCGACTCTCGACGGTAAATGTTTTGGATTGTTAGCTGATGCATGCTGATGTTGTAGAGGTAGAGGATGATCGGTAACGGTAACTTGACTCCAACAAAAACCGCCCCCATCCCGGCCCATTCAACAACTCTTCCAGTATCAGTCTCCCCACCACCGCCGCCACGCCACCGATGATGTTTTTTTAAAAACTCCTCTTGAAAACAACATACCCTAGTAAGGTACGAAGCACTTTCCTTGGTACCCATTGTGTTTTGGGAGACGTTGCTCGAGAAGCATCTCTGGATTTGAAACACACAAGTGGGTCACATGCTGAAGCACAACTTGCAGTTCCCATATCCAAAGCAAGACGTGCAGCTGCCCTTGCCACATTTGGGAGTTTGACTGAGGCTCTGGAGGAACTTCCAATGCCTTTGGGCCGCAAGCGAAAGGCAGAGGCAGAGGCAGGTGATGATGATGATGATGATGTGCCAGATCATGATGCAGAAGCTGATGATGACGACGACGATGATGATACTCTTGTTCTTCGCCGTCCAGCAGCGAGGGCGAGTGCCAAACCTCAAGCCCGGTCGTCTGCTCCCAGGGCCAAGGCGAAGACAAAGGCCTCTGTGTTGGCTGTGATGGCTACTTTGAAAGAGGCTCCCAAGCAGATGGCAGCTAAAGTAAAGCCAAAGGCAAAGGCACAGAATCAGCGGCCAAAGTCCAAGTCGCAGCCGAAACGCAAGTCGAAACGAGGTCTACATGGCGATGACTCTGATTTGGGTTTGGCCGATGGTGCATCTGCCAACAATGACCCACCGTCTCACCAGCAGTTGCCGACACAGGCTGGGCCTCGATTCCGATCCCCTTTTAGTAACTTTAGTCTTGAGTGACCTGGCTCCACTCAACTCTGCTTCAACCTATCATTCCAGTCCAGTCCGACTCCAGATGAAATTTTCAGTTTCATTATGTCAGTCAGTCTGTCAGCCAACATGTCACAGGCAGCTCCGCCTTCCAAGAGAAGATGCGCGGCGCAGACCCTTGAGCAGGTGTGGCAGAGTGGCAACAAGTGATGTACACACTGTACAGTGACTGAGGGATGGTCGCTGACACTTTGCTGCACCCTGGCCGGGTGTACAGACCAGCGCTGGCCGATGTGTGATTGTTTCGGTAAGGAACACTTTCTCAAAGATGTTGTGTTGATGTTGAGTACTGTTTTTGGATTTCACCTTCATTTTTTGAAATAACAGATTTGTTTGATATGTTTACTGTTGCGATCTGAATTGCCTCAAGCTGGTTTCAATCCAGTTTCAAGGAGCATGCATAGCAAGCTCCACGGACAAAGACAGTTGCTGTGAACACAGCAAACAGTTGAGAGAAAAAAAGCTCGCTAATGATCTGCTGCTGAATGCCGGTCCCTTGATTTTGTTAGCCCTCACCTTTCCCAAAACGTATGTTTTTTTTTGAAATGTTTCCCACCAATATAAAGCGTATGTTGTGAAAATTAGCATTCAGTTCTATGGATTTTCACCGCACCAGTATGTGTTTGGTAAGAATCCCAACATCCCACAAGATCTCTTGGATGAACCAATTGGTATTGCCCCTGCCACTGCCAGCCTGTCGGATGACATCGTGGCAAAGGCACAGGCCATTAGGTTTGCTGCTCGAAAAGCGGTCTTGGAAACCCAAGATGACCAGGCTCTTCGTCGAGCCCTCGCTGCGCGACCCAGGAAGCACATACAATTCGAGCCCGTGCATTGGTAGCTTACTGGAGAGCTCAAGAATACACCCTCGAAGGTATCATCCTAGGAGGCCGATGGTGGGGTACCGCCGTAGTCCTAGGATCAGTAGGCAAGAACTATCTAGTCGTTCATCGAAAGCAGATTTTTCGCGTAGCGCCAGAGCAGTTGAGACCCGCCACCAACGAAGAACAGGCCTTAGTCAAAACCCCACAAGCTGAATTGTTGGGTATTCGTGGTCTGATCGAAGGTTGCTAATTCGCTGCCACTTACTCTCATTGATGCCTCTACAGTCTAGAGATCTTTGAAGTGCACTTCGACTGCGCAGCCTTGCAGAAACTGGTGGGCCCGAGTGGGTGCTCTTGCAAAGGGAGGAAGGAGCGAAGATGGTGCCAGCCTTCTCCTTAAGCAGGAGCTTGCGCTAAAGCAGTTCAGCGGTGTTGTGTAGAAGGACTTGGTTTCTCAAGTGGCTGCCTCCACCAGTATACTTGCTTTGCGCCATTCTGCGCCCACAGCTGATTGCAGATACAGCTCTTGCTCAGGGGTTGGTACTTCCATCTCCCGCAACAGCTCTCTAAATCTGTGCCCTAATATCGTAGTTGCGCAGTTTGCGCGCGACACCCGACAGAGCAACTGGTTCCAATAGCTTTGCTCGGCCAAAGGTTCGAGGACAAGCTTGTGCTGACGCGTGCGACACCGATTCCACGGATGCCACGACCATCTCCTAACTCTTGCTTTTGCATGCTTTTGCTTTATTACGCAGCACGATTGGATTTTGAACTGTTTTTTCCCTCCAATCGCCCATGGTAATTCACGCGTAGTTCCGACGTAGTTGTGCGGTTCCACCCTGCGAAGCACGCCCTGGAACAATTGTGTGGAGCAGTGCAAGACACTGACCGCCACGACCAACTCCACGACCATTGTGGATTATAATAAGTCTTATTCGTGGGGCCGAACAACACCATTTTTATGCTCATCCAGCTTGGGTGGTGTGTGGGCCCAGGATCATGATCAGTAGTTTCACAACAAATCCTAAGTCTTAAGTTCAAGTCCACATGCAAACAGTGCCCGGGTAAGCCCCGAACATTAAAATATTCAACAATGAGGTAATGACTGACCTCCACCTCCATACAGAACCTTTTGATCAACACACGCGCCGTGCATCACAGCAGGCCGCGTGATTGACACCGCCACTCATGCCCGTCTCTGCTGGCACACCGCATTTACAGACGCGCGCCAAACCGCCTACGTCATGTCGCCACACCGTGCGCCAGGCAACACCAAGCATCAATGACATCACCAGTCATCCTGCCACCAGCGACATGCTTTAGTTACACATACTTATATACATGTTTCCCGTTCCGCCAGGGCAACATGAGGCAACCAACTCTTAAGGGCTACAGCTGCTCACACGCACAAACAACGGTTTGCTATAGTGTCGAGTTCACACTCTTCCACCAACACTCTTACTATATATTGTTATTTGGTAGACACATTGGGTGCAACAGAGAGTAAATCAAGGTGGCGTCAAAAAGAGGGCGGCAAACTTCGGAGTTGTCAAGCAGACGGTCGGTATTTTCATGTATTTTCACTGTCGCAAACTTCGTCCGAGGCATTCTTGCTGCCAGCCATCGTTCATATCGAGGCTGCGGGCATACTATTTTTTTCAGCAAGCATCAGAAATAGGTTGGAGGCCATCGCTATTTGGTTGGCGGCCATCGCTCAATTTTTAACATAATTTTCCCAGTCTCAGGCGCAACAGCCGATTCAGCGGGGCTGTGTCCAGCCAATTGCTTTGATTCTTGCGCCACTCGCCTTACAAACGCAGCAAGAGCGACTGACAGTTGCTGTTCTTTTTTGCCCCTGACCCACAGTAGCAGTACCAAAATGTACCAAATATTCTTATCAACCCAACATGGAGCTAAGGCCAACTCGAGAACTCGCGGTGCAGACTCTTGCCTTCTTCACTGAGAATGTAGGGCTTCACTGGCCGGTTGAATGTAGTTTTTATCCTGACTGGACCCAATAATAGCACCAAGAAATCAGGGCATCGTTCTTGGTCTGTAACTGTCGAAAGGGTGCCTTGAGATTCTCTCTGCAGGGTCGAATTATGGGTCAATGAATCAGGACCCACTTTTTGGATCCTTCTGTAATATCGTTTTACCTACAATTTTTTTGGATCGCTGAGGA